GGGGACGTTTTGGGGTGGTGTGTCCAATGGGTTTTGCGACGGGTCTATAAAAAGCCGGGTGTAGTCGCATAGTCGCCATTTCAGCGAAGCAGATTTGAAAGAGAGCTCCGTGGCGGGGAACGGAGAGATCTGACGACTGGAGACGGATCCTGGTTTGAGTGTAGCTAAAAACAGAATCCGGATCCATCCCGATGGAAATGGCTGTTAACCCGCTCATTGACAGGTATCTACCGGCATAACTGACTCTCAGCTTTCCATCAGTCGGAATATTGTGAACATTTATGCTTATTTATTTTAAATATAACGGAACGGGCACCCTGTTTGCTGTAATGCCAGTTGAAGAGAGGTGGACGCTGAGTATGCTACAGGAAGGACTTTATCGCGTCGTTACAGGCATTAGAAGTGACTTTCATGTGGAAGAAGTAAGGTTGTTTTTGGCTTTTTAACATAACAAACTGCGACTGTTGAGCGCTGTGCCGGCGCCATTTTCGGCTGCCGTTGGCCGCTCTCTCACACTGTCTAGCAGTTAGCATTACTAGCTCTAGCCTGAGCCCAAAGGGTTGCTCATGAGACGCGTAAGTATCACGTTTGGTGCTGTATGTCTGCGTTTATTGACAGTGACAATTGACAATGCTGACCTGGCATCTTTTAAGAAGGCTTTATCTAATGTATAAATGTAGCATTTGTGTAGCACAAAACCATAGTTAAACTTGATCGTTGTGCAAGTACATACATAGGGGGGTCGGGCGCACAGCCACGGCAGAGTCACTGCGTGTTTCGCCGGTTTGTTGTTGTAGCCATGTGGCGGTCATGGGGTTGTTGTGATCGCCGGTGTAACGACTCCATTGTAGCATAACGGCTAACGCTCCGTTATCAGTAGCACCACTACCAGTTATTTATGTATTATTAAAGTAGTATTGTCACACATACAGAGAGCCTGTCAATGTCTCTGGTAAATGTGATTTTTAATGTAGGGTTATTAGTATATATGTTGGGTGTTTCCCTTGGTTGCCTGGTTACAGCGCACACTAGCCCCAGTAGTTAGCAGCTGCTATCATTTTGAACTAATCCGATAATGCCAAAAAACTGTCTCTAAATATCATAAATTTTTAATACTTTAATGGAGAATCTATTTTTTGTCTCCTAATTTGTTAAATATTTTTTGAGCCAACATGTTTTTTGTGTAGTGCTGTTATATTTTGTACATGATTATTTCCCTTTTTAATAATAAAGTACACTAACTGTCAAATGTGTTTCCAACAGTTGTATCATTTAAAATGACTGCTTTACAATAGCTTTGGACTCCTTTTGTTGTATCATGTTGCTAATTCTTCTTACATTTTGTGTGTAGGGTGGATCAGTGCAAACATACCCTTAGGCTATGCATAGGAGACTTAAGCTACTAACCCCATGGGTTATATTACTTGCACTGTGTGCTTAAATGTGGAACTTAAAAAAACGATTTTCTGTTTTGACTTAATGGTAATGGTGCAGCATCCAATAATACAACACCAGCTGTTTCAGGCTTTTGGTAG